TTGAAGCCAAAGATGGAGAAGCTCTATACAGTCAGCAAAAACAAGACCAGGAGCTGACTGTGGCTCAGATCATGAACTCCTTATTGCAAAATACAGGCACAAATTGAAGAGAGTAGGGAAAACCACTAGACAATTCAGGTATGACCTAAATCAAACCCCTTATGATTATACAGTGGAAATGACAAATAGATTCAAGGGATTAGATGTGATAGAGTGCCTGAAGAACTATGGATGGAGGTCCGTAACATTGTATAGGAGGCAGTGATCAAAACCATCCCCAAGAAAAAGAAATGTAAAAAGACAAAATGGTTGTCTGAGGAAGCCTTACAAATAGCTGTGAAAAGAAGAGAAGTGAAAGGCAAAGAAGAAAAGGAAAGATGTGTGTGTGTGTGTGTGTGTGTGTATAGCAGTCGCTCAGTTGTGTTCAACTCTGCGAACCCATGGACTGTAGCCCACCAGGCTCCTCTGTCCTAGGAATTCTCCAGGCAAGATATACCCATCTGAATACAGAATTCCAAAGAATAGCAGGGAGAGATAAGAAAGTCTTCCTCAGTGATCAATGCAAGGAAATAGAAGAAAACAATAGAATGGAAAAGACTAAAGATCTCTTCAAGAAAATTAGAGATACCAAGGGAAAATTTCACGCAAAGATGGGCACAATGAAGGACAGAAACAGTATAGACCTAACAGAAGCAGAAGATATTAAGAAGAGGTGGCAAGAATACACAGAAGTATACAGAAGAGATCTTAATGACCCAGATAACCATGATGGTGTGAGCACTCACCTAGAGCCAGACATCCTGAGTGCAAAGTCAAGTGGGCCTTAGGAAGCATCACTACAAACAAAGCTAGTGGAGGTGATGGGATTCCAGTTGAGCTTTTTCAAATCCTAAAAGATGATGCTGTTCAAGTGCTGCACTCAATATGCCAGCAAATTTGGAAAACTCAGCAGTGGCCACAGGACTGGAAAAGGTCAGTTTTCATTCCAGCCCCAAAGAAAGACAATGCCAAAGAATGTTCAAACTATCTCACAATTGCACTCATCTCACACACTAGCAAAGTAATGCTCATAATTCTTCAATCTAGGCTTCAACAGTACATGAACCCAGAACTTCAGATGTTTGAGCTGGATTTAGAAAAGGCAGAGGAACCAGAGATCAAATTGCCAACATCTACTGGACCATATAAAAAGCAAGAGAATTCCATAAAAACATCTGCTTCATTGACTACACAAAAGCCTTTGATTATGTGGATCACAACAAATTGGAAAATTTTTAAAGAGATGAATACCAGACCACCACCTTACCTGCCTCCCGATAAATTTGCATGCAGATCAAGAAGCAATAGTTGGAAATGGACATGGAACAACAAACTGGTTCCAAATTGGGAAAGGAGTACGTCAAGGCTGTATATTTTCACCCTGCTTATTTAACTTATATACAGAGTACACCATGCGAAATGCCAGAATGGATGAAGCATGACCTGGAGTCAAGATTGCTGGGAGAAATATCCATAACCTCAGATATGCAGATGACACCACCCTTATGGCAGAAAGTGAAGAGGAATTAAGAGCCTCTTGATGAAAGTGAAAGAGGAGAGTGAAGAAGCTGGCTTAAAACTCAACATTCAGAAACCAAAGATCTTGGCATCACTTCACAGCAGATAGATGGGGAAACAATGGTAACAGTGACAGAATTTATTTTCTCAGCCTCCAAAATCACTTCAGATGGTGACTGCAGCCATGAAATTAAAAGATGCTTATTTCTTGGAAGAAAAGCTATGACCAACCTAGACAGCATAGTAAAAAGCAGAGACATTACTTTACCAACAAAGGTACATATAGTCAAAGCTATGGTTTTTCCAGTAGTCATGTATGGATGTGAGAGTTGAACCATAAGAAAACTGAGCACTGAAGAATTGATGCTTTTGAACTGTGGTGTTGCACAAGATTCTTGAGAGTCCCTTGGACTGCAAGGAGATCTAACCAGTCCATCCTAAAGGAAATCAGTCCTGAATATTCATTGGAAGGATGCTGAAGTTGAAGCTTCAATACTTTGACCACCTGATGCGAAGAACTGGCTCATTGGAAAAGACCTTGATACTGGGAAAGATCAAAGGCAGGAGGAGAAGGGGGTGACAGAGGATGAGATGGTTGGATGGCATCACCGACTCAATGGGCATGAGTTTGAGCAAGCTCCAGGAGTTGGTGATGGACAGGGAAGCTTGGTGTGTTGCAGTCAATGGGGTCTGAGCAACTGAACTGACTAAGGGGAACTAAGATCCACATGCTGTTGGGCAACTAAACCCGTGCAACATAACTACTGAGTCCACACGTTGCAACAGAGACCCATTGCAGTCAAAGTTGTTTAAAATGGAATAAAATAAAACTAAAAAAAGGAGGTGTCTGAGCTGAGCTGTTTAAGTGCAGGCTTTCTTATCCAGCAGGGGCCAGTGGGTGGTTCAGTGCAACCTCTGGTCACTGGACAAAGCCTGCTGACCCTACATTGGCAGCAACTTCCACCTAAAGGGCAGCATCTTTGTCATTCTGTCCGACACCACTGACACAAGGAGGAAGCAGTCCACATCCCCCTTGAAATATCTTACATTACAGCTACACCACTTAATCCATGCTCTTACTCCACTCACCAAAAGTCCAGTCCCTTCCTTAAAATTCTCAAGAAGCCTGACATTGAGGGTCTAAAACCCCCCACCCCCATGACTCCATACAACCAAGTTGTCCTATGCAAATAATGAAAATCCAGGTTCAAGCCTGGCTGACTAGGAACACGAGGCTGCACTCCTGGGAGGGGGGCTGATCTCAGCTTTCCTCAAGCCCCACCACCTTGGTAGTGTACCAGCCTGGAGGCAGGGAGACAGCTGAATAGGACACAGGTTCTGTCCTTCACAGACCAGAGGTTATAGTCAAGTAATCGCAGACACACGAACAAATATTTTAACAGAGAAAGGAGCATTTGTTTGGCTGAGAGTCGCTGGTGAAAATTCCAGAGGTGACTGTGGAGGGAAATCCTTGAAGGATGAGCAGTTCTGCAGGTGAAGAGGGTAAGTAGTAGTGGTCCACCAGGTAGACAAGACAACATGAGGGAAGATGGAGTGTCAGGAGAAGGGATGCCATGATCTGGGAACTTCAAGTCATGCACTGTGACAAGTGCATCCTGTGTGGCGGGAGCAGGAGAAATGGCCTTGAACATTAGGTTGAGGAGTTAAGGTTTTTGTATCTAGTTTAAAAGTCATCAGTAATTTAGGGAAGTGACTTGAGCATATCTTTATTCTGGAAGGACTGGAGAGGGGAAACAGGAAGCAGGAAGACCAGTTGGGAAGCTGCTTAAATTGTCCAGGTGAAAAAGGGGAAATGCCTAAACTAGGGCAATGGAGGAAGGATGCATGACAGGTCGTAGCATAAATGGGGATTGTGAACAGAGTAAAATTGCAGTCAAAATTCCTCTTGAGAACCTCTGGGGAAGGGGCTCCATTAGAGGTTAATGGACTCTTCAGAGCTTTTAGTACTTCTTCAGAGCTGGAGTCAACTCTCGTGCCTTTGGCTGAGCACCAAAGGAAAACGGTTGGTCTTCAGAATCCATATGGCACAAGATGCTTGCACTCTAAGAGACTGGAGAGGAACCAAAACAGAAAATTCACTTTTCCCATCTCACCCTCAATCGGAGGACACGGATGAAATGGAGGAAATCTGCACAGTTACTGTCATGTGCTTATAACTGCATTCAAGGAGGTTAGGAATAGGCATGGTAAGTAAGACACAACTGAGGTGAGATGGAATGAAAAGTGGAAGCTGAAAGTAGACAGGAAACATAGGAATTGAAGGAGGTGGTTTCAGGTTTTGGGGGTGAGGAGGGAGGGAAGGGACTATTTTATTTGGGGCTCCCTCTTTCCAAAAAATGCCTTTTCTTCTATGGCTTTATCACTCAAGCCAGAGGGGACTAGTACCTCTTTCCCAACAAACCTCACACATCGTCACTAACATGAACAATGTTGATTTGAAATGATGAAAACCTATGTCTTCACTTTCAAGAAATGCCCACTAACACTCTTGACTGTTGGTGTTGGCAAAGATCTTTATGATTGACAGACTGTATCCAAATGAGGGACATTAGAGCACTGGAATTACTGATTCCAAGTTAAGCATTTTCCTTTGTAATGTTCTTCTTACTTCATAGTTTGGAGCATTTTTTTCTTCCAAAAGGGAAGAGAACTTTCATCAGGAGTTCATGCCTTCACAGAATAGCTATCAATATTGCTAAGACATTGTTTCATCCTAATATGGACCTGCGACTTGGGTGTGAGCTGAGTGGGGCCAGCTGGGATCCTAGGACCCCCTCCTGGGGCACTCTAATCAACCCTAAGACAACACCACGGCTGAGAACTAGGGTTTCAGCTCACTTGAGTGTGCTTTCCACTCTGAGGATGCAGAGAAACTGCAGAAAACTCTCCAAATTGTGCCAAGGTTATTAGCGCACCAGCCTTCTAAGTGGGGAACTTGGAGACAGACTGGGTAAGAGAGTTATGAGGCAAGATTTGATTGGCTCCAAGTAGCCACAATCAGAGAAACATTTCTGGTCCTCTCCTCTCCAAAGAGGACCACTCAAGAGGGAGTGGGCTAGAAAAACAGGAGGGACACAGGTTAAACTCATGAAAAACCTTGACTGCCAGTCTAAACTAGGAATGACCATTATGGTATGCAGTATGAACTCTCCCAAAATACAGCAGAAAGGCCCAGAAAGCTCTCTGGAATTCTCCTGCACTTCCTAGGGAAGGAGAAAGCAGCTATGAGTAATGGCCATCAGCCTCAAGAATTTTCCAATCTAATTCTGACAAGACCACTTCTGGATGTGATCCGTTTAGCTGACATCACAGGGATTCCCCGAGTGCCAGGGTGGGCCATCTGACCCTCAGTGGGTCGTTATGGTGTGAGGGGTCATGAGATGAAAGAGGGACTGAGAAACAACCACCCAAATAACATGAAATAATTTCTAAACATTTTTATTTCAAATCTCTTTTCACCCCTTCCGCAAAAAGACATGGGTCAGTACAGCAATCATAAAAAGGAGATACAAACACAAGAGTCAAATGTCTCCCGCACTGACACTTTACAAAAAACCGGGAATTATACATGGGTTTTCCAAACAGGACCTGCAGCAGCTACTAATGTCCCTTTACAAGAGTCAAACATGCCTATTAATACAGTATATACAGACACCCCATTCTGGAACTAATCTACAGGGACATCCCAACACCCCCCATCTATCCCCAGAAAAATACCAAAACACATCCAAAGTGCATTTGCTTTGTTTATATCAAAACATCTTTCCCTTTCCCCACCCCACCCTCAGACCCTCCCACCCCATTTAAGATTGGCCTGCAAGTCTATTTTAACCATTTAGTAATTTTTTATAGTTTATGAAAATAAATTATACAGCAAATATTTTAATAAATTAAGCACAAAAAGGTTGAGGAAAGGAGAAAAACTAAGTGGGAAGACAAAAGCCAGGCCACGCTTTGGCTTGGAGGAGGGTGGGGTGGCAGGAGAGGACGAAGTGGTTGCAGGGGGATGTGGCTCCCCTCTGGTGAAGAACTGGCAACCACCCCGAGCCCAGACTGACACCCCTCTTCGTTGAGTTCCTTATAAACAACCAGAAAATGTACAGCAGTGGCTGTGCCACAAGCAGCACCAGTTCGGGCATTCCAACGGGCCTGCCCCCAGAGCGGTGCCTGGATTACACTTGTCCCTTGGAGAAGGGTCTGGGCCTGACAGTGAGGGGCAGGGCCCTGTTCAAGGGAGCACCAGGGATGGAGTGGTCAGACCAGCCTTCCCGCTCCACCTGAGCTGAGTAGGGGGCTTAGGATGCAGCTCGGTGCGGGGCTGTGTGGTTTGTGATCTCCTGGGTTCTGATCAGAAGTGTCCTAACTTCAATTACACTCCATCTCCAGGAGCAACTAGGATCGCAGTCCAGCTGCGAGCAGACATTCAGGTCTTCCACTGCCCTGACTGGCTGCTGTTTGCCTGCCCCTCTCAGCATTTTGAAAGAGGGGGTAGGAGGGGGGAGGAAGCAATGCCAGGTACCCTCCTGAGAAGATGAAATGGGCGTGGAGGCATGTCACAGACTCAGCATGTAGGACTGGCTTCCTGGGAGGGGGACCCGAGTGGGAAGGAATGGGAGAAGGGGCAGAGATGGGAAACAGGAAGAATTCAGGGGCACCTACCAGGAAGGTCAAGAAGCATGAAAAGGACAAAGACAATATGGAATCTGCATGTAAAAAAAGGTCTTTCCCTGGCAGATTAGAGAATCGATCATTTAAATACAGTTCCTTACTCTATTTTTCTAACTGCAGCATCTAAGTCCCCAGTGCCTCTGTCTCTATGCTCCAACTCTCACCTCACACCTCCCAAGGCTTCACTCTTATCCTCTCAAGGCCTCCTGCCATTTTGTGCTGAGCATGAAGACTTCAATGTCAAAACAGGATAGATCACAGGGACTGGCAGACTTGACTTTGCCTTCTTGAGCTGTGTGGCCCAATAATCCTATAGCTATCACGGGGGGAGGGGGGACACACTTTTTTTTTTCTTTTTCTTTTTTAATAAAAAAGGTTTTACTCCCCAGGAGCAAATAAATCATTTTGAACTACTGATAAACACTGCTGCAGTGAAAAGAAAGATGGCTCCATGTATGCAATAGCACAAATTCCGTGTAAGAACAGCTGTGTGGACAATTAAGAGCTAAAAATCACTTCTCCACTTCCCCCTTTCCCATGAACCAAACCAAGAGGATTCCCATAGGGAAAATGTCTAACTCAAAAGCTCCTTCCTTAGGGACAGGGGCATGTCATTCTCTTAGAAGTGGACAACAAACAGCAGGTCTCCCCTCAGTGGAGATGCTCTCCACACCATTAGTGGCAAGACTTCTGCAAATAAAGACACACACACACATGCACACAGACTTTCAGACCTCCTCCCAGCAGCCATGGAGCTGTACGTCCCAGTGCTGAGGCCTCTAACTTCAGGGCTCAACCCCTAGGGAGAGGCGGTAGGGCAGTGGGGAATCTAACCAAGGGGGCAAGTTCCTCCAATCGCCATTTCCTACCAGGGTCAAGGGTTTCAAGCAGGCCATGTTCTTCTGGGTCCTGGGGTGAGGGCTTCAAGGCTGGCACCCAGCATTGCCGTAGTCTCTCATCCCTGGATCTGGGAACACTAACCACCCTGTCTCTCGCCAGTTCTTGCTGGAAGCGTAGGGGTTCTGTGGCCATCCCCACGTCACTCCCAACCTTAATAAGGGGCTTGTGGAATCAGCCCCAGGGACAAGCATGAAAGCAGAAGAAACTATGGTGACGGGCTCCCCACCACGACTCTGCCCTCATGAGGCTGGGAGCTGCCACCCAGGGCTGGCTTTCCAGGGTGTCACACTCACTGTATCTAGGCACAGGCAGGCAACCAGGCCAAGGTCATCGCCAACTGTCCCTATGACCTAGTCGTCACCTATTTATCTAGTCCCGCACCAAAGACCCCATACCTCCTCACTCCTGTGTGACCACAGCACATGAGTTTCAAGTAATAGCAAGTTGTAGCAGTAACTGTCACTAGCTCACAGTGGTTCACACCTGTCCTGAGGAAGGTTACAGTAGATCAGTCATAAACAAGAGAAGGTTAAACAGGCAGATCCGAGGTACTGACATCACCTAGCCACAACCAATGACGGGTCCCTAAAAGTGAGAACCTTTTCCAGTCTGTGACTTGAAAATACAACCACCACCAAAAAGGAATGAGTTCCTTCTGAAGACTGCTTTTCAATTAGCACTACACAGAACTGGTAGCGGGACGGGGGTACTGCCGGCGGGTGAAGGGGAGGTGCTGACGACAGCCAGCTGCTCCCACTCCCTCTGTTGACTGACCGGGCTGGTGCCTTCCTCCTCACCTCTGGATGGAACCTGTCTCCTCTGGCACAATTCTGTTCTGTAGCCACTCTACTGAGGAAGAAGTAGGGTATAGCCTGGGCTGTGACCCACGCACAGACAGATCATAGACACAGTCAACACTACCCTTCCTGGGAGGAGAAAGGATGATGGTTGAGGGTGAGTCACGCCTCCTCAGCTGGTTTGGACTTGTACCTGAGAGTATAGATTCTCCAGTGGAAACCGCTGGTACCACAAGGGGTCCAGGGCTGTGCCTCCTTCCCTCTGGCTGTGCTGAGAGCAGTGAAGCCCCAGCCGCGGGCAGGGGCAGGGGCCCCTGGCTGACTTCTGGCTCTGGGCTCCACCTTGCCACCATAACCCCTCAGCATTCACATCTACCTGATGACCAGGAAATTTTGGTCTACACCACAGCACAGAAAAAGGATTCTTTGATGCCGCTGTTCTAACTTGGGGCTGTGCACTGTTCAGTACACACTGTGCAGATATCTGCATCTGTGCTCTTGTTCCTGCATTTCTCAGTGTCCTCCCCTCACCTAAAAAACAAAGTCTCACAGCCCCAGAGCTTTCCTAGACCATCTGGTCTACCATGATCTTACCCACTCTGAACTTAAGAGCCAGCCCTTGATTCTGCTCTGCCACGCTGAGTCATTCTCCAAATGTGGCCATCACCTAAAAGTTTCCTTAGGCCAGATAATGTCTTCCACCTCTTGTGTTTTCCACAGTAGCTAGCCTAGGGCCAGGCAAGTGCACCCTAAAACGTAATTTTTAAAGAAAAGATTTCAGGTAGCTGCAAAACAGCCACTTGAGGATCTCAGTAGATTCCAGTCAGTAGGCTTTTGGTGGGTGGCACTTTCTGCAAGATGGCAAGTTAATTTTCACCTTCAAGAGGTAAGACCCACTGGTTAAGCCAATTCCTGGGATCACTATCTTAACTGGTTGGTAATACTACCACGACAGCCAGAGAGAAGAGGCACCACACAACAAAGCAGAGGTGTGCTGTGTTTATGCTACAAAGCTCAGTTTGTGGGTTACCTCTTGACAGCCAGGTAACAATGCAAGTTTCTACCCTATTCAGCTAAAAGGAGGAGGAACGGTCATTCCACGCAGGACATAAGGCAGAAGGTCAATGTTTCCGAGTGAGGCAGTCCTATAAATTACCAGAACACTGGGGCCTCACCCTAAACCATCAGGAAACCACAAACCTGACATTATTTATCTCACTAGATGAGGCAGATATAAACACAGGGGAACCAAAAGAGGCAGTCTACTGGAACACTTACTGCAAGAGTAATAAAGATCAAACAGCTCAATTTTCACATCTTAATAACAAACCTCTTCCCAGAGTAACTCTACATAAAAGCAAACTCATAATGCTATGTGATTTGACAATGACCCAGTTCAGAAAAGCACTGGAATTTTTCTCCCTCTTCCTCTACTTCCATCTGGAAAAGAGGCAACTCTCAAATCAGCATCTGACAGACTTCCCAATGAAAGGAGAGCAAACAAGATATTACTCAGGAAGATGTCTGAGTTGCTAGAAAGAACTCAGGAAAATAAAGAAGCCTTTGCTACCTCCTGTTTCAGACCAACCTAAGAAGATGAGCTGTAATGCTCTCCTCCCTCCTCACTGATCTCAAACATCCCATTAAAGCTGAGCCATGAGGGAGCTTTCTCTAGGAAGAGCACAGTAGTTTCCTTTCTCACCTTCCTCCACATTCCCTCTTACTAGCTGACAGACATATGGAGGTGAGGAACACTGACTCCTCAGTCATGGGTACCGTTTGCCATTAAGAATCTGGAAGCACGCTCCATTAACGGCAGCAGCCCGGGACTGCAGCTTTGAACTGCTCAGGTGATGAAAAGACTACTGCCTGACAGCTGGGAGAAGCAGTAGGAATGATGTTACCACGACCAGAGTGAAATGAAGTTATCACGAGGGAAGGGGTTGAGGGGAGAACAGGGCTAACGTGAAGTCACAGAATTCAGTAAAACAGAACGAATACAGCTTCTATGAGAGGTGATTCTGAAATTAGGTTCCTAAACCTCAGAAGGAAGGTATATGAGGAGTCACTACTTCCCCAGTAGGGCCATGTGCCAGGTTTTGTCCAGCATCTTCTATTTGAGACTATCCACCCTCCTTTCTTTCCTGCTAAAGCTACCCATGCTTACAGAGAAGCAGGTTCTCCTCAATCAGCAACTCCCAACTTGATCTGCACCCTGTCTCCTTCTTTCCCCTCTTCAAGGTCAATGTGAAGACTGGAATTCTGCCTTTGGCACCAGCTGAATGACCATCACTGGCAACCCGATCTCCTCTTCTTCCCTTCCCCAGACCTGCTCACCCTCGGCACCACTTCCAATCCAATGGGCACAAACCCCAGGTGCCTTTAGGGTGAGTCTATACCGAGATATGCAAATATACAAAACAAAACTTCTGAAAAAGGAACAGTGTTGAGACTTCTTCCTGTTTTCCGGGCAGTTCATCCAGCTCCAGGAACACAGGGCTGGATGTGACATGGTGGCGCCCTGCTCAGAGTCCGCTGCTGTGCTTCATCCAAGCCCCAGGGTGGTGAGGTGAACCAGTCTCTTGCACAGAGGATCCCAATCCTTCCTACTCCCTCCTGTTTTCCTCACTCTCCTTTTCATGGTAGCTTCATTTGGTTCTTTGAAACTGGAGCTTGGCAACCAAATGCCTAGGTTAAAAAAGGGGAAAATTAGAGTGGCTCAATACAGTGGAATCAAAACGGAGGCAAAGGACAGCCTCTGGAGGTAGAGAAGTACAGCTCAAAGGGAGAATGTAGCCTGCAAAGCCCTGTGCTTCCACAAACACTGCATGTGGCTGGGGATGCAGGGGTGACCTTTATCATGGAGACTTGAGCAGCCTACCACCTGGCTGCCAAAAAAGGCCCTAAAATGACAAATAAAGATACCCCTCACACCACTTCCCTTCTCTTTCCCTTTCCCTTTTATTTTCCATTCACTCTTCCCCTCTGCTTCTCCCCTAAGGCCCACCTGCTCTAGGGACCAAAAAAGGAACTGAGTCCCTGGAGGAATCCCTGGTGAGTCAGGCTAGAAACAGCTGCAAGCCTGCGGCTTCTGGCCAATGAAGAGGGCGGACATATCATCACAAAGGCTAGAGCGGTGTCAACCTTTCGATTCAAGAAGGGCACTGTGCCAGCTGTCACTCTGTCCCATAACTCCAAGCACCCTGGCAAGAAATTCTCCAGGAAACAGCATGCACAGACCAAGTGGCCTCTAAGAACTCTGAAATTAAAACAAGTCTGGCCAACAAGAAATCATAATGGCCAAATTTCATACCTTAAAAGGCCGTTCCCTTGGGAAGAATTCCCAAGAGAACCTCCCTTTTTTTCAAGGGGTCCTCAGATCAAGCACAGCAGGGTGCTTATTCTCTGCTACAAGCAACAATCCCAGTGTCACAGCAATAAAGAGACCCCAGGAGTTCAGTGCAATCCTCTACTAATACAGGATTGCCCCTCCACACTCATGACCAATGGCCAGCCCCAGCCTATGCCTGATCATACCAGGGCCTTTGTACTTAAGAGGATCTCTTGCCTAGAATGCCTGCACCCAGGTCCTCTCACAGTTAACTCCTTGATATTCAAATCTCAGCTGAAATGTCAGCTCTTCACAAGAGCCTTCCCTGATCATTCAAACTTGAGTGTGAATAACATGTTACCACTAACCACTGAACTTCACCCAATTTAATTTCCCTCACAACATATACAGTCAACTGAAACTAGCCAATTCACTTACTCACTAGTTGCTGTCTATCTCTCCCTAAAGAACTGCAGCTCTGTGAGAACAGGGCCTTTGACTATCTTGTTCAGCACCGTCTTCCCCGTTCATACTGGCTACTTCGTATATAGAGGTCTGCTGAAACAACAAATGGGGAATTCACTAACTCCTGTGGAAAACCATTCCATATTTGGATCTGTTCAAAAGGTTCTTCTAAAGATAAACTGAGGACTTCCCTGATAGTCCAGTGGTTAAGAGTCCAAGCTTCTGCTGCACGGGGCACAGGTTCAATCCCTGGTCAGGAAAGTTCCACATGCTGTGCAGTGTGACCAAAAACAAAATAAAGTAGAAATAAAGCTGGAGACTGAACTCTTTTATAACTTACTCTGTGTACCTGCCCTGCCCCCTGGAACCACACAGAATAAGTTTGATCACTCTTAGGAAAATCTATCAAACACTTCTTTTAGCCTCCAACCCCTCTCACCTTAAAACTTCTCTGGTCCATGATAATAATTTATTCCCTGCATTATGAAATGTGGACAGCCCCCACCATCCTGAACCTTTCTCTGAATGTACATGTGCTCATGTAGGCTCCTCCTAAGGCACAGCACCCACAGAAGCAGTGCTCTAATTGAAGGGTCCCAATTATTCCTCAACAGTGCAGATGAGTAGGTGGGTCCCCCTAGTTCCCTACCCTAATCACTGTGAAGCCACCAAACAGAGAAACCCTCCTAGACAACAGAGCACTTAAATGTTTTAGGAGACACTTCTGAGCGCACACAACTTGCCAATACAGGCACACCTTATTTAACTTGTTTTGCTGCACTTTTATAAGTTGAAGGTTTGTGGCAACTCCACATTGTCAGATGATGGTTAGCATTTTTTAGCAATAAAATATTTTTAAATTAAGGTATGTAGATTTTTTACACATAATGCTAGTGCACACTTAACAGACCACAGTATAGTGTAGATAAAACTCTTCATATGCGTTGGGAAACCAAAAAAGCCATGTGACTTGCTTTATTGTGGTATTTGCTTTTTTCCAGTGTTCTGGAACAGAACCCGTGATACATCTCCCAGGTATGCCTGTAACTGAAGATTTGACAAAGAAACTGCACATCCAGCCCAGGATCCTTTAAGTTAAAACTCAACTGCCTCCCAGAGTTACCATTTCTTGATCTCTCTTCATTCCTCCTCCCCTGGCTAGTCCTGGCTCACATGCTCTCCCCTCAAGAGCACAGGATCAGAGACATCCAGAGCCAAGAGGAGACACACAGCTGGGGTCATTTGAGTCATGGCCCAAAAACACCCACGGAACAAAAACACCAGCTGTCACTCTCTCCCATTATGAAGAGAGCTGAGAGGGTGGGAAGAGTTAAAGCCCCCTTTCCACTCTAAAGCTGTCACACCTATGGGTTTTTCCCCTTTGTTTTGTATTGGGGATGTGATTAGAAACAGATGAGGTTAGAAGAATTCAGTGCTTAGAAAGGACACTCCCCACTGAGAGGGGGAGGGTAGTCTTTGACCCCAGCAGTAGATCACTAGAACATGACACGTAACCCTTACTATCAAAATCACCACTTTCTGGTAATTCTGTTCCCTACTTACCTCTACTTTCAATATTCACATTAATGTAATTTAAGAAGACTTTTTTTTTTGGCGGAGCCCCGAGGCATGTGGGGATCTTAGTTCCCCAACCAGGGACCAAACCGGAACCCTCAGCACTGGAAGCATGGAGTCCTAACCACTGGACCACCAGGGAATCCCCAAGACTAATTAGAATTTATCTGTACAAACCAGTATTCCAAGTTATTTTGTGGGAAAACAAACAAATAAAACTCATTCTAGCAATGGGATACACTCTTATATAAATGAATTCCTTAGTTAATTCATTTACTCTTTTCACCAATTTACTTTTCAGTGGCCCAGATGGAATTTTAAACAGAAGAGCAAGCTGTTTTTTCCTCATTCCCATATTCCAAGCCATGGGACAGGAGAACTCTCACTGAAGTGCATGCCTATTGAAATTAAGGGCATTTTGTGTTCCCCTTGATGAAGTTTTCTTCCCCTTTGGTTTCCTGCTTTACATGTCATTTGTGCAACAGCTGCACTTCTATGGCCTCCTCTTTATACACATTCAGTGATTAGCATGCATGTTGCTTTGCAAATACTCAAGCCTCTCTTGTCTATTTGTTCTCCCCGTTGGGGTATGTGCCCCCCTGGGACTCCGTGATCAGATGTGGCAACTCTCTGGACAGATGCCTGGATTGGGGTATGTGCATGGGATGGGAGGAAGAGGGCTAGGTCCAGTGCAGGGTAACTGCCCAGGAAGAGACCAGGCTGGACAGTGAGGCAGAGTATGCATACCCTTGGTGGTGACCAGCAGGGGGCCCCTCGCTACGTGGAGGGTTCCAACACCTCTTGCTTCTGTTTGGAAATGAGCTGCGCTTCCTTTAGAGACAGGTATACCTCTTCCTGAGGATCATAGTAGTAGAACTTTCGGATATAAGAGATCAGAGGCCTACGAATAATACAAGAGGGGTACACACAAGTGTTATACAGAACTTAAAAAAGAAAGATCAACTTTATTCAACCCTCCCTTCTTTTCAATCCCTATATGGTTGAGACAACAGCAAAAAGTCTCTGCCAACTTGAGAAAATCCCCACATTCTCACTTATTGTAGTTCTGTCTCCCTCCCTCTTACCATCTCCACTCCACTCTTCACAGAGTCTGCAGAAGGGAAAGTGACACATGCACACACCTTCCTCCTTCGGGGCTGTACTGTGACATTTCTAAGTTAGGTGCTAAGACACAGGAGATGTGAAAAGATGATTCCTGGGAGTTGCCAGACTCTGCCTGGACACTCCACTTGCAGGCCTCACTGACACTGTAAGTAACCCTCCGTTCCTACTCTGGCTCTAAAGACCCCATCATACTTAGGCAGTGGGAGATCCGGGATGTGATCAATCCGGACGAGCTGTCGGATTCGGAATCGGCAAAGGTGCTGGAGGGATTTGACATTGCTGAATCGGGACACTGGATAGAGCAACTGGACTGGAGTTGGTGGCAGTCCTTCAGGAACAAAAACCAAGAGAAATATTCAGATGAGACAAGGCAGCTAACTATATATAATCTTCCTTATGAAGAGAATCCAGGGAAGGGAAATGGAGCTTCTTTACAGTTCACACAGGTCTTCTGTGCAAAAGTGCCCCTCCACAAAACTTGGTTTCCATAGTACTGCTACCATATTTCATACTCAGGGGAGCCTACCCTCTGGCAGGGGGCCTCCCCAGCCTGACTTCTAACAACTGAGAGTCTTGCTCTTCGGACAGCACAGAACCAACAGAGCTGGCCTTCCCGGAACACTTGCTCTGTCTGAGGAAGAGTTGAGCCCAGTGAACCTCAAAGGAGCCTTCTCCAGGAGTCTCCCAGAGCACCTGACCATGTGACTGTCTAACGGGCAGTGCTGTCGAGACAGGCACAGCTTCTTGATTCAGGACCAGTCTCTCTTAGTCCTTGACTTCTCACCCCTATCCCTTCAAATCTAATGTTTGTATTTTTAAAGCACTGTAATCCTCATCCTCAGGGGCTGGTTCCCCTGGGGGTCGAAACCAGGACTTTCTGCATGTAAAGCTGACCTGCTAACCACTACACTATGGAAACACAAGCTCAGATCATGAGCTCCTTATTTCCAAATTCAGGCTTAAATTGAAGAAAGTAGGGAAAATTACTAGGCCACTCAGGTATGATCTAAATCAAATCCCTTTTGATTATATGGTGGAGATGATGAACAGATTCAAGGAATTAGATCTGGTAGAGTGCCTAAAGCACTATAGAAGGAAGTTCGTAGCAAGGTATAGAATGCAGTGACCAAAACGATCCCAAAGAAAAAGAAATGCAACAAGGCAATGTGGTTGTCTGAGGAGGCTTTACAAATAGCTGAGGAAAGAAGAGAAGCAAAAGGCAAGGGAGAAAGGGTAAGATATACCCAACTGAATGCAGAGTTCCAGAGAACAGCAAGGAGAGGTAAGAAGCCTTTCTTAATTGAATAAGCAAAGAAACAGGAAAACAGCAGAATGAGAAAGACTAGAGATCTCTCCAAAAAAAATTGGAGATATCAAGGGAACATTCCATGCAAGGATGAGCATGATAAAGGACAGGAACAGTAAGGACCTAACAAAAGCAGAAAAGATTAAAAAGAGGTGGCAAGAATACACAGAAGAACTATACAAAAAAAGATCTTAATGACTCAGATAACCACACTCCAGCCAGACATCCTGGAGTGTGAAGTTAAGTGGGCTTTAGGAAGCGTTACTATGAACAAAGATAGTGGAGGTGATGGAATTCCAGCTGAGCTATTTAAAATCCTAAAAGATGATGCTGTTCAAGTGCTGTCCTCAGTATGCCAGCAAATATAGAAAACTCAGCAGTGGTCACAGGACTGGAAAAGGTCAGTTTTCATTCCAATCCCAAAGAAGGGCAATGCCAAAGAATGTTCAAACTACCAAACAACAGTGTTCATTTCATATGCCAGCAAGGCTATGCTCAAAATCCTTCAAGCTATGCTTCAGCAGTATGTGAACCAAGAATTTCCTGATGTACAAGCTGAGTTTACAAAAAGGCAGAGGAACCAGAGGTTAAACTGCCAACATTTGTTGGATCATGGAGAAAGCAAGAGAATGCCAGAAAAACATGTAGTTCTGCTTCACTGACTATGCTAACACCTTGACTGTGTGGATCACAACAAACTACGGGAAATTCTTAGAGATGGGAATACCAGACCACTTTATCTGTCTCCTAAGAAACATGTATGCAGGTCAAGAAGCAACAGGTAGGACTGGATGAGGAACAAATGACTGGTTCAAAATTGGGAAAGGAGTATGACAAGAATGTATACTATCACCATGCTTATTTAACTTCTATGAAGAGTACACCATGCGAAATGCCGGGCTGGACGAATCAAAAGCTGGAATCAAGATTCCAAGAGAAATATCAACAACTTCAGATATGCAGATGATACCACTCTAATGGTAGAAAGTAAAGAGGAACTAAAGAGCCTCTTGATAAGGGTCAAAAAAGGAGAGTGAAAAAGCTGGCTTAAAAACTCAGCATTAGAACAACTAGGTTCAGGGAATCTGGTCCCATCACTTCAAGGCAAATAAAAGGGGAAAAAGTGAAAGTAGTGGCAGATTTTATTTTCCTGGGCTCCAAAATCACTGTGGACGCTAACTGCAGCCATGAAATTAAAAGACATTTGCTCCTTGGTAGAAAAGCTATAACAAACCTAGACAGTGTATTCAAAAGCAGAGACATCACTTTGACAACAAAGGTCCATATACTCAAAGCTATGGTTTTTCCAGCAGTCACGTATGAATGTTGAGAGTTGGACCATAAAGAAGGCTGAGTGCTGAAGAACTGATGCTTTCGATTTGTGGTGCTGGAGAAGATTCCTGAGAGTCCCTTAGACAGCAAGGAGATCAAACCAGTCAATCCTAAAGGAAATCAACCCTGAATATTCATTGGAAGGACTCATGCTGAAGCTGAAGCTCCAATATTCTGGCCACCTGATGTGAAGAGATGACTCAATGGAAAAATACCCTGATGCTGGGAAAGATTGAGGTCAGGAGAAGAAGTGGGCAACAGAGGATGAGATGGTTACATCGTATCAGCAATTCAATGGACATGAATTTGAGCAAATGATAGGAGATTAATGGAGGACAGAGGAGCCTGGTGTGCTGTAGTTCACGGGGTCCCAAAGAGTTGGACCCGACTTAGCAACTGGACAACAACAAAAGCCCTCATCCGCTCACACACACCATTGCTTGGCCCTCTCCTCATATACCATTAAAAAAAGAAATTCATACATGGATTTCTCTCTTGAATATATTTAAACTCAAGTGGTTTTAAAATGATCCTGGGTTCAAATGCCTCTTTGAATTTTACCTTTTCACTCATATGCTTTAAAAATAGTCTTTAGTAAATTACACTATGATGAACAGAAAGCTTTTGGGAGGTTGGTTGTAATATTGCTAAACTCAACATGATGTTTCAGAGACAAAAGTAATTTATGCACCTAATTATTTATTCCCAAAGACAGTACTATAGGACTTGCACTTAAAGAGATCAGGATAATAGTAGCATACAATTATCTGACTATTTGCCTACTTAAATTTCAATGACCATATATACTTGTCTATTTAATTGTGTTATTTTTAGACTTAGGTTCACAAACAGCAATCTGAAACCTGTGAATTCTCTGATACTCCCTAGTGTTAACTTGATTGTTTACTGTTTGCCCCCAAACACAGCAAACAATTAGAACTCTGACATCCAAAGCATGTTCACTGAAGAGATCAGAAATGGAGATAAATCCAACATAAGACACCAGTGCAGCTGAAAGGGAAAGGCAAGATACAACAGTGGTCATCAAGAACTTTCCTCTGGTCCTCATGCCAGGGTGCTGTGCACAAATCCAATTTCCAGCCACTTTGCTCTTTTTTTTCCCCCAAAGGACCAGGGTTAGGCATGAGGGCTTCCCAGGTGGCTCAAGTTGTAAAGAAACCAGCTGCCAATGCAGGAAATGTAAGAGATGTGGGTTCGATCCCTGGGTTGGCAAGATCCTCTGGAGGAGGGCACGGCAACCCAGTCCAGTATTCTCGCCGGAAGAATCCCATTGACAGAGGAGCCTCATGGGCTACAGATCATGGGGTTGCAGAGGCAGACACAACTAAAGTGACTTAGCATGCATGCACGCAGGCATGATGAATCTCTTTCAGAAAAAAAGTAAAAAGAATCTCTTTCAGGTCTGAGCACCCAAATACCCAGGTCTTTCTCCCACAACAAACTGTTCCCTGAAGACCAGAAATATCGAACCCCAAATGTCTGTTAACAGGACTGAATTGAGAAATCTGAGATACAAGGAAAACATATCATTGAACATTAATTATAGTCTTAATGATGATGGAAGCAATGGATTTCCTTAGAGTGTCCGACTCAAAGTGTGATTAAAAAAACAAAAACTATTTTCTCTTCAGGCACTTCAGAGATGATGGAGATTCTTCCAACTAAGAACACATTCAAGTTGAGTTCTGGCTCTCACAGTATCAGAAGTTTTGTGCTAATCCAATCACATTCTCTTTTCGAGACTACTGCTTGGTGTTAGGTGTTTAGCTTACAACTGTGAATCAGACCAGACTGAGATGTAATCAGCAACCTCAGGTTTACCATGACCATGTTCCCACACTGTCATGAGAAGAGATAAGGGGCACACTAAGCTCAGGGGCCATCCTTGACCAGTGATTTCTCCCCAATTGCTAATTATTCTACTTATTAAATTGTTTCTGCTTGTCACTTGGTGCCATCTAAAACTTTCATTAGGGCTGGCTTTATAATCCCTATAATCCCCGGCATCCTTTTACACCAGGCTGGATGTGCTGCTAGTACATCCAGCTCTAGATTTGAGCCAGAAAAACCTGACTCTGCATCCTGACTCTGTAATTCACTGTGGATCGGTTTCATAATCTGTACTTTAAAGAAGATAAAAAAGGAGGGAGAGACTGTAACATTCCTTCAAGGGATCTCATAAGGGTTAAATGAAACAATACGAGCCCCTTGCAGGCAGTTACCAGCATCCCAAAGTCTAAACAAAAGGGCTCCTTTACCATCCACTGAGTTAAAATCCCTGGTATAGGCTGACAGAGCTCAATCTAAATCTAATGACTACCACCTCCTCACGGGAATCCTCTCCCCTAATAACGTCAGCCTTACAGAATGCCTAGACCACTGATAAGCAAAGGGAGGCAGCAAACAATGGTAAAGGAGAACATTGATCAGGCCTTCTTTGTCCCAATCTTTCAAAGAGAAGTCACTCATGGTCTAGGGGCAAATACTAATTTGCTTTCCCTTCTTGATTACAATTTTAAGTGCAAATAGATATCCTACTTGTATCCTAGAAAGACACTCTCCACTCTCCGCTGTGTTTATCCACAGATAAACACAATTCTGACTTCTTTATGTCCTCTCAACAAATGCCAGGAAACTCAATCTCCAACTTGCTTACTGCCATTTTTTTTTCCCCATAGCAGAGGGTGGGAAGTAAAGCACAGGAGTTAAGAGTCAGTTGGACCTCGGTTTGAATCCTGGCTTCAGTACTGATTAGCTGAGTAACCTTTAGAGTAAGTGGCTTCACTTTTGAGACACCCTTCGTTTCTTCATTGACAAAATAAAAAAAAAATTTTTTTTCAAGAGATCAATCTATTAGCTAACTTTGAGGCTACTGCAAGAAATTAAGAGATATTTAAATAAAGACCCTGACAAAATACCTGGCACATGGTAGGTAGGCACATAACAAATAGCAGCAATCATTGCAGGTACTAACCTTCAGCAATGTTAAAAATCTTACTTAAAATTTCTGCAGACAGGGTACATTTGTGGAATGAAATGAGCTATACCCGAGGAGTCCAAGATTCCACGAAGTCTCTCAATACTCTACAAGTGATACATGCTCCAGACTCCTCTGAGAGGCTCTCCCTGGTTCACCCACAAACAGATATGACTACCCACCCTGTCCCTGTCAATCACCACCAGGCTTTATATAGAATTTAACACGGGCTCTTGCCTTCTCTTCCTACCTGTCCCCTTTTTGAAGCTAAGAGCTCTCTAAGGGTAGCGTATGTGCTCAGTCACATATGACTCTTGCGACCCCAAGGGCTGTAGCCCACCAGGCTCCTCTGTCCATGGGATTTTCCCAGCAAGAATACTGGAGTGGGTTGCCATTTCCTCTTCCAGGGAATCTTTCCAAGCCAGGAATCAAACCTGCATCTCCTGCATTGGCAGGGGGATTCTTTACCACTGAGCCACGTGGGAATCCCTCTCTTGAGGTGGAGAAGTGGCTTATTTTTGATACTGAGTTTATTCGATACTGTTTGTTTATTAAATAAACACCCCCCCAAAAGCCACAAACTCTAAAAATTGCTAGGCAGAATCAGTTCCTATAAGAAAGGATTCTAACTTTTTCCATTTAACCAAGTCAACTGCATGAGACCCAACCGTGTTGACAGCACTGAGGCGAGTAGTTAATGAAGTGAGAATTAATACAGTTCACACCCTGTCATGCCTTATTTAAATCACCAAGATTAGAAAACACATTCCTGTAACCTGGCTCAATCCTGTTAGTGATGTTCTGCCGGAGGCTTCCCCATAACTTCTTTTTAGAGCAATTTCTTGACACCTGGTTTAAGAATCTTAATTTGATTCAACGGGAAAGCATGATGTTCTCATTTTAAGTTCTGTTTCTATCTTACAAATTCCTTGTTTTATTTTTTTCCAACATTATAAAAGCAGATTCCTCCAAACCATCCCTTCAACAAAGATGATACAGATACCCCCTACTTAGTGGGCAGGACAGGTACTGCCAGTGCTCCCAAACGGAGACTAGTTTCTGAATTCAATACTGGCAGGGATACAGGACACAACAAAGTATCTACTCTCCGACAGAAATTTTAGTACAAACACACAGAATCCGGAGCAGACTGCTATTAAATTCAGCCTTCTTGACACTCCCATTTCCAGTGAAGACTCTTTTACTTTCCCAGTTTCCCATGAAAATGACCTGAGAGCTGTTTCACATGTAAATGTGAGATGCCTGGATTAGGGACAAGGAAAGACCTCTGAAAGTTAAATGTGAATACATGACACCCAGACATCAGGGGCAGGATCAGTTTTCTCATTCATGTGACCAGAGAAGCAAAGATTCCTTCTCAATATGTGTGTTAGTCAGCCGTGTCCAACTCTTTGCGACCCCATGGACTATAGCCCACCAGGCTCCTGGGGGATTAATGTATAAGGACAGGATATTACCCACTAGGCTCGAGGAAAAGTGGATGCTATAAGAGCCAGGAAAAAAAGCTTTAAGTGTTTCTGGTTTGGGAGTTTTTTGGGTGAGTGGGTGCAGGAGTGGAGGTAGAGATCCTGCACTGGATCATACTCAAGTTAAATAGTTAATATAAAGCTTTGAATAACTGTGGGGGAAGAGGGAAGGGAGGGGTGGGGAGTGGACATTATGCTTGATCATACCCAAGTAAGTTAAATAATTAATGTAACAATAGCCTTACCTGGAACCCTGGATCTCAAGAAATAGAGAAACTTCCCATTCTTGGAGTGCATGATGGCCCTCTTAATGAACTCCACCACTGATTGACAGCGATCCTCAAACTTGGGATGACACCACAGGCTGAAGGTTCCTGCCATGGAAAGTTACGGAGAGGTAAAAATGCAAAACTTACTTTAGGAAGACTTGAGAAGCTGGCTCGAACATTTTAATGAGTTTCCCTCCTGGAAAGGTAGCTTGTGGTCAAGCTGAGTCAGAGGTCCCTGTTCCTGCTTGTTCTACAACTAATGGAAAGAAAGATGTTGCTTTTAATAAGATATAAATTAGGTCTTCCAATGTTTCTGTTAAACAATAATAAATTCGAGTCAGAAAAAAGATATAAAAAGATTTTATTGAGTATGAACATTAATCTTTAAACCACAGACCATAGAGAAAAGGCGCCTATGCTAAAGTAAGTTTAAATGACATTCCCTCAAAAAGATTTAAATCTTCAAGTATGCATAGAATAGGAAAGACAGGAACAGCGGTTTTGTGGGTCTTACTCATTCATGTACGTGTTAAGCACAAAAATCAAATTTTAAGTCTTTTCCTTCTATAGCTTCTAAAATCCCACGCCCCAACATGTTACAAAGATCCCACCCCAAACTTTAGAATCCCAAAGGCAAAAGGCAATCTGAACTCCCATAACTTAAAAAAAAAACTTCAACAACTAAAGCACTAAATCCAAAAGAGTCACAAAAGGGATACTCAAGAGAACTGCAGATTTGAGAACCTTGACTACTCTTTCGGGATCACTTAAAAAGATGAAGACAAATGTTCCATTGCAAACTGGCAACTGAAAGGCCCAGGGCTTCTATTAAAAATTCCATTTATTCAAGGAAGAAAAGTTCCTTTGAACAAAAAGTAATTGGAGAATCATTTGAAAATATTCTCGGATAGGCATCTCGCCTATCGGGAACCTAGAGGTCAAGCATTTATTCATCATTTCCATGGCCTAGTCATTTATAATCTTAATAGGTTTATAAAAGCACTTCACTCTGAAATGCTATGTTTTGCGTTTTGTTTTATTTGACTTTTGCTTTTAGGAACAGCAGGAAAACAAGTAGCAGTCTACCCCACAGTTCTCTAACTAATTCTCTCAAGTCTTTGGACTGAAGTTCCTTTCTCTTCATGCATCTTGGAAGCAGAGATGGGGGCAGAGGAAACCACGGACAAAGCTATGCTAACCTAAACAGCTACTTCTTGCCTAACAAGAGAAGCAAACCAAATTAATTCAGCAGAACACGACTGAGAGCAGGAAAGATACAGTGGTGCTTGAGAAGAGCATGAAAGAGCCCCTTACGTGAAATGCAGTATCTCACACAGTTCATTTAAGGTTGATCACATGTGGGAAGAGCAAGAGGAATCAGAGGGGCAAGTCCATAAAACTCCCCAGAGTTCTCCACAATTTTTAAATTTGTAGCATATTGCAGGTATTTTGACAAAGTATGTATTAGCCAGCCCCACCACCAATGACCATTACAAGTTTGTGGCCCAAATCAAATACCAAATGTCCTGATGCAAAGTTCATCCAGACAGCAGTACTGAACAAGTCAGCTTCTCAACATGACTGGAATAATAAGCACAACCTGACCACAGAGGAAGACAGACAGTATGTTGATTCCACAAATTCTCATAGAGTTTTGATGACTATTTCCTACAAAACTACAAAGTTGACCAGAAAAAGACATAATTATCATCGATGTCACTGCCAGGCAAACAAATTCAGAACAGAACAGTCACAGGATCAACAAATTCTCCTCTTTATCTACATGACTAATATCTCTAGATGCTAAGTTTAATCATGAACCAAAGCTTGAGAGAATTTGTCTCATGGTCCTACGTTATTTCTTCCTGCTACCAAGACAGTTTTACTGGCTTTATTCTGTTCTTCAATAGTCTTCTTCAGAGTCTGTTTAGGAGACAAGATGTGCTGAGAAAACTTTTAAATGGAACATTTATGCTCCTCACCATCCCCACCAATATTTCTTGTGCTCGAAATCAGTGCCCATATATCAATATTCAATTGAGTCCATGAGATTTTCCTACCTATTCACAGTTCCATTTCTGTGAATCCTTCCAATGAGAAAGTCAGATAGCAAAGGTAGAAAAAGCCAAAGGGGAAAGAAGGCTTCCTTCAAATGCCAGCACCTCTCACCTCTGTAGTGCTCCATTCTGGTGTGGTGAGTGATACCCTGTGATCGGAAACTGAGGCTCAGGATATAACGAGGATCGGAGCTGTCTCGTACCAGGAAAGAACCATCAGGCTTGCCTTTCAGCTTCATCTCTGCATCTTCCCAGTTCATCGGCCCCCAATACCAACCACACTATCAAAGAAGTGGCAAGGAGTTAGAACACAGGAATGTCCAAGTTTTCAGCACAATTACTCTGACCACAAGAACCCCCCATTTCCAAAACACTGCAGTAGGTAAAAGTTGCTAGGAGTGCCTCAACCATTAGCAATGAATATCGGGTTCATCACACTTTCAGGCCTCCAAAAGTAACAGAAAAATAATTTTACAGTTCCATTACCAAAGCCCTACAAAGAAGAGATGAGGGACCTAGGTCAGTTTAGACTATGTAAATATTTCTCCATAACTTTTCTCATTAGGTTCAGACACTTTTTTCAGATTCAATTTTACAACATCTCATAGAACTAATGATAGCAACATATTACTTTGTCACTGTAAATACAGAAGCAAGGAAACTACTCTTCCTCTAAAAAGAACAGAAGGGGAGCCTGGCTGAGAATTAGGAGAATGTGAGAGGAGGAAGCTGTCAGGCCTCAGGCACCACCCACCTTCTCCAGCTCTCGCAGGCTAGCCGCAAAGCTGCTCGAGTCAGGCCGGTAGAGGGGACACTGGAGGTGCTGCGGGGGCTGGCTGTGCAGGGACTCAGCAGCTCGGATGGGAGCAATCCGGGGAAACGCGTCTGCAGGGCAAGACAGCAGTGGTCACTTGTTGACCCTTATCGTTCCCAACTTCAAGTAGACCCTCCCTCCCCCAAAACAGAGATGCTAACTGAAGACGGGCAAGGCATTAGAAGCTGAGCTGGAAAGGGTGGAAGCCAAAGCAGTGGGGAAGAGCTGGATGGGCTGGGGCAAAAAGCTGTGTGGGCTCGTGTAAGCTGTGAAGGATGGGTGGGGGCGTTTAACCCCAGGAAAGGGGGAGGCAGCAGCTCACTAACCTGACTAAGGTGACTACTTCAGGGCTTTCACCAGCCTAGAGCGATTCCAACTTCTCCCACCTCGAGGTGAAGTGCCGGTAAGGCAGCCTTGGAAATAGTGACTCACTTAACTTGCCCAGGAAGAGCAACGATTTTGCCAAGCAAGTAGATTTTGTCAGGCAAGTAGAAAAGAATGCTGATTTCATTCATTTTATTCCTTGGGCACTGGGGGCTGGCCAAGCAGGTATGGGCTACTGAATGCTTGGTACTTATTTACAAGGCTGCAGTAAATGCTAAAAGCTTAGAAAAACCACAGAACTTTGAAAACCAGCAACACATTAAACCTCCTCACTCTACTGAAATTAAGGCAGTTTCCTAAGTGATATTGACTCAAGGATTGCAAACAAGTTTCAGTTGCAAAGAGACAAAAAAAATCCAACAGTCTTTTATCTCTACCAAAAATCAGATTTGCCTCCATAAAGAAAACAGGCTAAAATAACTAGTGCTTGACCTCATTTCCAAGGAGTTCTGGTCCAGTCAAGGGGATATGACTTAAGCTTTCTCTTAAGTTCTTTTATTTCCATAAATAGATCTCTCCCATCCTTCAAAAGTGTTTCACTTTGTACTCCCCATTCTTGCAAGTCTTGCCTCTAAGCTAAGCTAACCTGGGGCATGGGGTGGAGGAGGCGGAGGTAGGGGGAAAGACTGCAGGGAAGACCCCATCGGAGCCACAAGGACAGATGTAGGCAGCGTCCCACTGATATCATCTAGAAGAGAGAACAAAAGCAAGAGGTTCAGAAATATGGGCACAGAATGAGCACAGGGAAGGCAGAGGAGAGGGAAAAGGATCATCAGGCTGCCCTCTGGGGCAAAATGGCCTGAGCTTCACCCTATCTTTTTTGCACAGAGGGCCACAGTCACCTTAATCTGGTTTCCTTTGCTTCCAAGTAGGAAAGTAAGGATATCCCTAAGCTGCCCAGTGGCAGTAGATTCAGAACAAGATAAATACTCTTTATAAATAAATAAAGATTGAAACAATATATGGACAGTAGATATTACAGCATGCAGGTAAGAGACCCATTTAACCACTTTAGAGATGAGAGGGGCGTGCTGAGAATGGGACAAGAAATGAAATAACTGGGTCATCATTAGAAACCCAGGAGTCTGTTTGGTTCCTGGCAAAAAACAACAGGTTGACAGAGCTCACCCTCCCACAGGGCAAGAAGGAAGAGGGAAGGAAACTATACCTAGGAGGCTGAGGCTTCTTCTTGGAGGAGGAGGGGGAGTTGGAGGGTGTGGAGAGGTCAGGCCCCGCTGGGAGATGTCCACGTCCACCAGTGACACTGTTTCACCTGAGGGGTTCATGGAGCAAGCATGTTACAGCAGCACCGTGCCCAAAGCCAAGGCCAGGAAGCAAAAGGAAGCAGAGAGCAAGCAAGGGACGCCGGAGGTCCACAGCTCTCAGAAAGTTCAAGATCTAACGCTCCCACGGCTGGAATCCCCCCAGTCCAAACACCTGAGAAGTCAGTTTTAAATTCCATCACTCCTTTACTCTGTTACAGATCAAGGATCTTTAAGACAAAATCATGGGATTGACAGTGAAAAAGCCAACTAATGCTGGCTCTGCCACTGAGGATATAACCTTGCACAAGAAGTCTTCTTTATTCAAATGGAACCCACACCATTTATTTTTACAGATTTGGGTATCAATTTTTGCCTCGGGGAGCAAGACAAGCAACTTTTTACAAGCCCAAATGGACACGGACAGCATGCACCATTAAAACGTAAGAACTGTTAAGCTGAATTCAGATAAAGATCCCACTGTTAGCTCCAACTTCTTCCTAAATGGCTTTCCACATTGAGATTTTCCAGAATAGTCACTCCTAAGAGGCCCAACCATTTCAGTTATCAACTAATTCCTAACAGCTGAGGCTACAAAGACCGAAAAGTGCGTTTACAACCCTAATAATTAATTATTTCCACAGTCAGGCAATAGTCAGGTAAGCTTAGAGGAAGCTTCTCAGTAAGAACTCTGGGTGGGAGGGCGGGGGGAGGTACACATGGTTTCTCTTACTTTTCAGCATGTTATGTAGTTCTATTCTCTACCAAATTCACTTCTTGTTGCCACCCAGCACAGCTACCCTCTCTCCACATGAATCACCAGAGAATGAAGGCTATTTTATCAACCTTCTGTTGAAGGTTGCAAAGAGTCAGTTTGTTTTGGTAGCTCCTATCCACAGGTCAGAATTTGGGATTTCTCTAATTTGGCCCTCAGGGTGTTATTTCCAACACCTTTTTCTTTTGTAGGAAGCTGAATTAGTCCCTAGCTAGAATCTTAATGTTTCCCAGTTAAGAAAATGAGGTAACAAATATCTCTAAAAGGCCAGGAACTGCGCATTCAGAACCTAATACAGTTTGTGGTATCCTTTTTTTTTCCAAGACCAACAAAGGTCTTGAACACTAAGATAAGCAGAAAAGCTCTTCCAAAAGTCATCAGTGGAAGTTCCAGGAATTCATCACACAGCTTAATTACTGAGGGCCTACGTGCCCAGGACTTCCCTTGTGGCTCAGCTGGTAAAAAATCTGCTGGCAATGTGGGAGACCTGGGTTCCATCCCTGGGTAGGGAAGATCCCCTGGAGAAAGGAAAGGTTACCCACTCCAGTATTCTGTACTAAAGAATTCCATGGACAGTCTATGAGGTCTCAAAGAGTCAGACATGAATGAGCGACTTTCACTTTCACTGCCCAGAGCAATGCAACAAGCCCAGGTTTCCAGAAGGGTCAGACAGGTCTAACTTGTAGGTAGTATAGCACTTAGAGGAAGTAATTCAAGAGAGCGCAAGATTCTTTGAAATAAGAACGTGGGACCTGAAACTACAGATGTTAGTTTCATCACTTTAAAAGGGAAACAACTACTAGCTAGAAAGACATTCTGCTACAGGATAAGATCCTTTAATTCCTTGCTTGGGCTAAGAACAGAGGACCTCCTCCTCCACTGGTGCCTATTACAGGCACCAAACTCACCTGTTCTGACAGTTCACAGCAGTCTACTCAGTAATGGGGGTTCCACTAGCCTGTTGAATTTTCCTGAAAATTTCCAGTCCCAGATCACAATTCTTGTAATCATCTTTTTCGAGGGACACAATATCCAAAAGAGTTTGAAACCAGGATTGGGCTTAAAGGATTCTTAGCTACACCCAGCGAGGAGGCTCAGTTTCTGAAACTTGAGGCTGTGTGCTCCAGATGTCCTTTTCTACAGCTCATTCAAGCAGAAACTCCACACCTGACTCGCAGAACAAAAGCTTTCCCTCCCAGAAAAAGCTCCCTTCAAAGGAGAAGGTGAAAGGATATTTGACCACTTTCTTACTTTAGCAACTGTGTTCCCTGCTGCATGAGGAGACTTAAATTAGATGCAATAAGAACTCTTAACAGCTGCAAGAACTGTTATCTCCCAAAATGGGTAAGACAAGAGTTCATGTGATTCCCCTTTACCCAAAGTCTTTAAAAATAGACCAGATCATCGTGGATCATGTTTATTAGATAATCCATGAACTCCCTTTGGAAGCAAGCACAGGAACTGTATGACTTCCAGGGTCCTTTATGTGCTATGAGCCTATAAATTTGTATTTTCTACTTTTAATTTATACGTGATGACCCTGAACTAAAGCCTGCATAACTGCCAGGGCCACCTAATTACCAGCAAGCAGTCTCTCAAACTATAAAGCATCCAAAGTTAAGAACACATTCCACACCATAAAAATAGCGTCACCCCAAACCCAGCAGGCACAGAATGAAGAAAATAACTGCAGACATGCCTGCAGCTCCCTCTGCGATGCATCTGCAAGTGTTTCCTGACACGTCTCAGAACAGTCCTGCTTTTAGATGCTAGAGAAAAAGAAACAGATCACCTACCTGTGAATAGCGGGCTGAAGGAGACTGGAGAAAAGGCACTTTGAGTTCTTGTCAACCTGGGTTTCCTGAGGGGTGAGAAAGCACACAGAGAATGAGGCGGAGAATGAACACACATGCATTTAAATCACTGCAGTGCTCAATTCCAGATGCACCGAAAAATAAAGCACACCCAAGTCATTGTCAACCGCACTTTTGTAATAAAGACTAAAATTTAAAGAGGGAAAAATAAAATAATTAAGGCGATTCCTTAAATAGATTTGGCTACAGAATTCACCAGCCTACAAAGCAATAAGAAATCTCTTTGGAGCTTTCCACACCCATCACCTTAAAAGAGTAAAACATCTTGAGTGGTAATTAGTAAGTCCACTTCTAGAGGAAGGAATTCAGATGCAGAGTTGATTCTCACAGGAAAGCCAAGAGAAAGGCTCTTGACCTGAACAGGTGCCACTTCAGAGCACCAGCTTTCCCTCTGGGCCTGCTCTTAGGAACAGGAGGTCCCAAAGTGAACCAGGCAAGATTTTTGGATTTGAGAATAGCACTACAGGATATACATGCAATCTTCAACCAGTAAGGCCTCTGATTTCTGCAAAATGCCCCCAAGCCACGGGTCAAAGCCAACAGCCAACAAGGGAGCCTCTTCAAGTTAAGATGCTCTGCCTGGCACCCAAAGAAGGTGGCCTCTTCTTTTTTTGAGCTGCTAGTCATAGCCTCCCCACCACCCCATGCCTGTTCTTGATGCTGCTCCCAAACCAGCTGGAAAACCCAGATTTCTGAAGACACACCAAAGGTAACTTCACACTACACCAATTTCAACTGGCTTGGGGTGAGAAATGAAATGAAAGGAATCCAAAAGACTGATAAAATTCTTTCTGGCTAGAAATGTGCTAATCATCTCAGGATGATTGAACTGACTACAAGGGAAAGAAGTGGAGGTGATGAAAATATGCTGTATCTTGATTGTGGAAGAGGTTATGATTTTGACATCTGTCAAAATTAACAGAACCAAGCAACGAAAAAAAGGTGAATTTTAGGAGGTATATAAATTGTAGCTCAATAAATCAGCCTTTAAAAAAAAACCCACTGCCAAATTAAATGCCTGACTCCACACCTTAGAGCTGGCTCACTTTCCAAAATTACTCTCACCCAAAGGTTTAAATAAAACTTCAACTGTACCAAGAGATGGGGAAAAGCAAAGAAAATCCAAAATGAAATCCTACTTTGAATTATTTGACTTTGGAAGATCTTTATGCATTTATGTTTTAACACAGATGTCTGTGCTTCTCAGAACTCACTTGAAACAGAATTTCAAAACCATACTGTGAAGACCTTGCTCAGAAATAGCTGAGATGCTGGGCTCCCTTTCCTGACCCATCTCACACTCCCTCTGCAGCCGCCTCCATGCTGAGACTTGAGAAGTCTAATGACGGTGCCCACTGTGCACGCCCCGCCCACAGCACACACAGGGAGGTGGCTGCATCCGCAAAAGACAGGAGCACACACAGTCCCTCTATTTATAAAAGTTGCTTGTGGCAGTCTGCAGCTTAGTCCCAGCACTCCAGAGGTCTGGGACAGAAAATGAATCCCACTGGACGTTAAGACTGAAGAGCGTCCAAGCTGATTTTTATTCGGTAACTTGTGGATACAACATTAAGCGCAGCAAGCAGAAACCCAAAGCACTGGCCTCTCAGAGGGTTCACACCTCAGCCATTTGGCTGTTTGCCTCTTTTCAAAGGAAGCTCCATCACTCTGCCATCTGCCCATGCTGAGGACGAAGCCCCTCAGTGCCGAGCACTGAAGAACAGCAGCACCCAATGCACACATCTTGCCGAGGCCGCCTCGCTCCAGCTCATCTTCTCCCCGCCCCCGGCATTTTGAAGAAGAAAATCATAGTTTCTAGGATCTAGAAAAAGAAATATATATGACTCTAAACCCAGGCAGAGCCATTTGAGTGTCTCAGAATGGTTTTTTTTTTTTTTTTTTTTTCAGACAAATAAGGAAGCTTAGAGAGGTAGAAGGTCTAAGAGGATGAAAGGCTAATAACAAATACAAGTGCTTCCTTCTCTCTTTGGGGAGATATTGTCTAACTAAAAATCCAAAGCAGTTTCTGTCTCAAAGATCCTGAGAGCATTCTAATGGCAGTCATTCATGAAAAGACAAATCTAGACAAACATAAAAAACAAAGCAAGGGAATGATTAACATAAAATTGAGGATGGTGGTTACACTGGGGAGGGGGGAGATGTAATCAGGAAGCCACACTCAGGGATCTTCAAAGATACTGATAACATTTTATTTGTTAAGCTTAGTGATGGTTACCTAAATATACATTTCATCATTATTATAGTATATACATTTTAGAAATTTTTTTGTATATCTGAAACATTTAAAATGATAACCATTCTAAGCTAGATTTTCTGTTTTTTGGAAAGCAACAAGAATGATATGGCTCCAGGTAAAATTTTTAACTAACCCTTCAATACGACATTCCCATATTAGTCATCTCCTCCCCAAATCACCTTGACAAGCATTATGGTACAAAGCTAAGCCACTGTAACTCTGCCAGTGGACCACTTGCATCTTAGCAGCAGAAAGACCTGAGGGGTGATGTCAGGTAGGACATGGTGGGCTATGCCTCAGGTGGCAAGCAGGAGACCTTAGGTCTTCTCTGCGGCTAGCAGTCCTTTGTGTTAGCAATGCACTGCTTGTGCTTCGGGTAACAAAGACATAAGATGTCTCTGTCCATTTCCACTCTGCAAATTACTAATTAAATGGCAACAGATCTGTGGGATAAAAGGAGTTAAAAACATTAGACTAGACAGGCTGACAACACACTGATATAACTACTGGCCACTTTTCAAATTCCCTGAAACATAAAATACAAACAATGACATAGTAATGCTCTTTCTCTCTTGTCCATAAATCCCCTCTACAGTGTCCTAAGACTTACACATGTCTTTTGCTAACTTTTAAAGTAGGGATCCAAATATCAGGTTTTGCAGCCACAATTTACCTCTGCCCCTGTTAAAGCACACAGTGCCAAGTCAGCCAGCCTGTGCCATTTCCAACACATTACAAGCCAGTGTCTGTTCATGTGCTATAGGCACAAAAACCATGTGCTCATTTTTAGTTCCAATACACAGACATCTGTGCAACAAGGTCAGATCCAAAACTCCACCATAAACCAACTAAAGAACCTATGGAGGGAACTTCCAGGGAAAAGCCCAGAGGGGTAGCCCAAGGTCTAAAAGCTTAGAAATGATGTCAGTGAGCAAAATGTAAAGAAGTAAAAGACATAAGACTCAAATGGACAGAGATTTATAAAGCCAGGTTGCTCATTCCAAAACAGAGCTGCCAATCACAACCACTTCGTGGAAAAATAGTTGAAAAGATCAACAGAATATGGACCCAAAACCTAAACATAAAGACAGACCCTCTTCACCACACCATAAAATCATTTTTCTCTCAGTATGTCACGCCCTTTCTCAAAAAGACTCTCTTAGACCTGAAGACCCAAGAAAACAGAGAAAAGGGTTTCTCTTGTCTGCTAGGTCTATCCATGACAGCAGGGCCCCAAACTGACACCAAGGCAGCCTCTCTTTCCAAAACTGTATCTTTTTTCCCCAAACAAATAGATAGGAAACCACTACAAAACTGTTCTCCATTTTTCCACCTCACAACTATGAAGACTGCCAGTAATAGCCTCAGCCATTAAGTAGGAAAAAAAAAACCCTTGAGAAATGAACAAGGTAGTCATTTCCAACCAAATGTGTATTACGGAATGCTTCAAAAAAAGTCGGGTTGAATGCTATTTCTCACCAAATACAAAGGAAGACAATCAGTGAAACATATGTGAACCAGACAAGGGAACTTCACTGGTTTTCCTGAAATAGCAATCCTATATAACACTGAAGCCCATAGGCATCAAGCCCAGCTCTCTGAATTTCAACATATGTGTGTTACACAGCCTAGCCCAGTTCTCCAAAACAGAAACATGATTAGCTGGTAAGCCTATGTATTCCTTCACTTCAAGAGTTCTCTAAGCTAACTCATACTAGACCTCAGGACCTAAGACTCAGTGTATCCAGGAAGGTCAACTTGGCAGACTCCAAAGCATCTGAAAGGAACTAAAGTTTTGCTTAATGTTAAAATACAAGGGACTTCCCTGGTGGTCCAGTGGCTAAGAATGCAGGTGGCCTGGGTTCAATCCCTGGTCAAGGAACTAGATCTTGTGTCCCTCAACTAAAGATCACAGCCAAATAAATAAATAATTTTTTTTAAAATATGGAAACTATTAAGTCTTGTAAAATGATCATAGGGGGACTTCCCTCGTGGTTCAGTGGTTAAGACTCTGTACTTCCACCACAGGGGGTGCAGGTTAGTTCCTCTGGTCAAGGAACTAAGATCCTACATGCCATGCAGCACTGCCAAAAAAAATAAAATAAAATTTAAAATAATTGTAGGAGGGCTTCCCTGGTAGTCCAATGGTTGAGAGGCAGCCTGCCAGTGCAGGGGACACAGGTTCAACCCCTGCTCTGAGAAGACCCCATACACCCTGAGGCAACTACGGACTCAGTGCTCCAGAGTGCACAAGCCACGACTTCTGAAGCCTGGAGGCTGCGCTCCGGAACGAGAGGCCAACAGCAATGAGTAGCCAAGAGTGGCCCCTGCTCACTCCAACTAGAGAAGGCTTGTGCACAGCACAGGAGACCCAGCACAGCCAAAAATAAAATAAACATTAAAAAAAAAAAATGATTGTTGGAGATACTTTCTCATGATAGCTGTGGGAAAGGTAAATGCTGAGAAAAGCAAAGAGAATCATGCCCAGAGGTTACTGCAAAAGCCCCAAATTATACTGCAGAGACTCATAATTAACCCCAACCAACAATAAGAAGGCAGGCATATACCTTCTGACAAAAGGCTGACACTTCTCATGGCTTCCAGGTCCTACCAATAGAAACAAGAGAACAAGCTAAAAATCCAAACTTATCCTTCCTCCCAACAGGGCAGACTTACTAAGGAGGTGTAGATCCATAAAAATCACAACTACCCTGGCCAGACTTATCAAGTTTCTCACAGCTGCAAGACTGCCAGCAAGACTGGCACATAGTAAGCTATGGAAAAGCTAACAAGAAAATCTAACAGTACCAAATCCTAAGCATTTTTTAAAACTTCACCAGTTCTATTTTACTACTTCTCCTCCAAAAGCAAAAAATATTCCATCTCAATTTCTCTCGTCTTCGCTCTGTTCCTATAAGGTCAGGAACAAGACAGGAATCACTCCCATTTTACAGATTAAAAAAGGAGGGAAGCATAAAGAAAACAAAATTGGCCTGCATCTCACAGGTGATGTTGGAGTCCTACATGGCATCCAGATGTTCATATTCTCTGTACAACAGGCTGCCTCCTGATAGCAGTCACCAAACGTTCATACACGAATACCTAGCTCTTCTCCAATGCATCATAAAAAGTTCTTGGACCAAAAAATGTAATTCTCCAGTGCCCTGAACTAAGCTTCTTTGCAGAGCTACAGACCAATTTGCTCTGCAGGAGAAATCGGTACTGTGCTTAGCGTGAGGGTTGGTGACAGAGCAGCCAATGACCATTAAATTCTGCTTCCAAAGGCAAAAAACCGTACAATGTTATATGCCTTTTCCTCTTCCTAATCTATTAGACGTTGCAGCTAATTTCACGCCACACCTCATATTTGGCGTCTCTGGAATCTCAGACCAAGTCCTGGTCAATATGGAACAAAGGCAGGACAAACCACAAGAAAATCAGCAATCTATCCTAGGTCATTACCCACAGCTTCAATCCTGCCCTGCCCCCAGAAAATGAAAATTTCATCTACACCGCTAAGTGGAGCATTGAATGCAGAGCCTACCAGAAAAAAAGCTGCTTCAGCAGCCATACGCTTTTTCAGACCTGAGCTCCCAGCGTGAGTTCATTGGGAAGCAAATGGTGAAACACACATTTACCTGAAGGGATAACACGCATCAACTAACTGGTTTCTTCAGGGAGTTTAGGTTTTGTCTGATCCCAAGATGAGACCCTGGCAAGCTGTTCAGAAAAGGCAACAAAATCAAACTGACCAGGAATTTCCTGGTGGTCCAGTGATTAGGACTCCACACTCCCACTGCAGGGAACACAGGTTCCATCCCTGAGTCAAGGAACTAAGATTCCCCAGGCCATGTGGCCAAGAAACAACAAAAAAATGACCCCATGCCTTCCTCTTGGAGTAAAAAGTTCCTTTGAAAGGAGAAGTCCATGGATGAGTGATTTTCAGTCCAGATCATATGAGGGAGTTTTTTTTTTTAATTCAAATTTTGGGGCCATCTGATCTTTTCCCAAAGCTCCCCACGTGAATCTGGTGCACAGTAAAATTCTCAATTTGTCTACCTGTTTTTCAGCCTTGGGTTGTGGCTGCTGGTGCATCTCATGAATCCATCACATGAGCTGCACCAAAACCAATCCCAAACGTTCTAAGAACCCATTCAGCAGTGCAAACCACAGTGGCAGTTACCACAAGGGAAAATCTAACACTGGATGTCAGAGAGCTGTCTGCACTTCAGAAATGCAGAAAAAAACTCTATGTCTAAGTTTGGAATTTTCATCAACTGGGGTAGAATTCATGTACCAATACAGGTGGCCCAGTGGTATAGAATCCGCCTGCCAATGCAGGAGATGCAAGAGATGCAGTTTTGACCCCTGGGTGGGGAAGATCCCTGGAGGAGGAAATGGCAACCCATACCAGTATTCTTGCCTGGAAAATTCCATGAACAGAGGGGCCTGGTGGGTTGCAAAGTCAGACACAACTGAGTATGCATGCACACCATACTTAGAATTCTCATACAGGTTTGAGAACAAGGCTATTTTCTATTCTCACAGTGGTTAGCACACAGGCTTGAGATATCATGTCTAAGAAACCAATCAAGAAAACATTAAAATTTTGACTAGAGATGCCCAGTCAACTGCTGGCCTACAACTACACAAGTTTGTCACACCATTTGCATGCATGAGTGTGAAGAGTGTGAGGTGCTGGTACACAGAAAGAATAAGCAAGGTGGTCAAACTCAAACTTTCGGCCCCAAAGGCCACACCTTTCCAGCAAGCTTCCTGCCAGGGGTAATGGTAGACATATACCTTGAAAAAACTTTAAAAGCTGGGCGGGGGTGGCGGCGGGGTGGTTTCAAATCACCGCCCAACTAGAGAGATGCTAACCAGCTGAGAAGTGGGGGGGGGG